GGGAAAAGAGGGGGGATTTAGGGGAGATGTGGGGGAAGGGAGTGGGGGTTTAAGGGCGATTTGGGGTGTCGGAAATGTGCTGAGGGGAGATCTGGGATGTGGGGGAAGGGGAGATGTGGGGGAAAGTGGGGAGAGGTGGTGGGATTTCAGATGGAAGTTTGGGGTGAAGGAAACTGGGGGGTGAACTTAAGGATGATCCGTGGGTCTGGGGGAGGAGGTGGGGAGTGGGGGGATCCTGGGGAGGTTGTGGGGTGGGGGAAAGGAGGGAATATAGGGAGGGATGAAGGGAAGGGTTGGGAGAAAGGGGGTAATGGGGTTTGGGGGCTGGTGGGGTTTGGGAGAGATGTGGAGGAGAAGAAGGAGGGTGACAGTGGGATTGAAGGGAGATTGGGGTGAAGGAAATTGGGGTCAGGGGGGTGTGGGGGAGGAGGTTGGGAAGGATCCTGAGAAGATGAGTGGGAACAAAAGGAGGTGGAGGAGAGAGCAGGGGGGATTCAGGTGGGGGAGGGAGAGGAGGAGGCAGCGGGATCCAAGGAAGGGGTGAGGGGTGACGGAGGGGATCGGGGTGCATGGGGGATCCAGGGAGGTGGGTCAGGGTGTGGGGTGGAGGAAGGAGATGGGGGGGAGGGTGATGGTGAATGGGGACACAGAAGGATGAGGGCAGGAGGTGGGGTGATGTGGGGGGCTGTGGTGGGGGCAGGACGGCTGTGGACCTGCTGGGTGGGCTCTGCTCTCTCGCTCTGCCCCGCTCTGCCCCGGTCCCTCTGTCAGTAAAGCAGCGCCTGGTTGAGTTTCAGAGCGGTGCTGCAGTCTCAGGGATAAGCAGGGGATGGTAAAGGCGGGAGGCGTTTTCCAGCAGGGCCCATTGGCTTTTGCTTGCTGACGAGCCCAACGCTCGTCCTTCCATCCCTTCCATCCCACATTTTGGTTCGGTGCCTTCCTCGTGGCTCAGGCTCTGTTTTGCTTGGTGTTCCCCTGGATGCGGGCAGCGATCGCTTCCTGGCGTACCTACGAATGGTGCCGGAGCATCCCTGCCTGAGCACTGAGGTGGTAGGATGAGGTGAGGGCTTTCTTACAGCAATCTTTGCCATTTAACTCTTCCTGGCCGGATAAACCTCAGGTTTTACCCCAAAATGAGGCCATTTGGCCCCATCCCAGGATGTCGGGGCACAGAGGGGAGGCTCCAGATTAGTTTGTGCATGGTCGAGGAGCGCCGGCCTGTTTCCACCTCAGTTCTTTCAGTAGCCCGGTGTTTGCTTTGCCTCCTCCACAGCCCTGGTCTGCAGGGGGAATAAGGCATCTCTCTTGGCAGCTCTGCTTGCTATTGAGAGATTTGGGCTGTTTGCAAAGGAGCTTCAGGTCCTGGGAGAGCTGCAGGTGGGCAGCGGGCAGCCGGGTTGGCAGCAGAGCTCTGTGTGCAGCACTTAACTCTGCTCTTGTTTTCTTCATCGTTATTTCCCGAGAAGTTGGTGCAGCTCTGGGGCGTTCAGTCTCCCAGGATGTCGTGGCAGTGTTCTTGCCCACATTCCTCCTCTTCTGTGCAAACAGGAGAGATTTCAGATACCCCTGGCTGAAGGGCTTCCTGAGGTGTAGATGAGCTGCTTTGCTTCCCCTCTGTGAGTCTCCAGTGTTTTGTGCTGGCTTGGTTTTCAGCCTGGCTCCTTTGGGGTGGCATCAGAATCATATCATAGAATCACAGAATGGTCCGGGCTGAAAAAGAACCCTCAGGATCACCTCATTGCATCCCCACTGTGTGCAGGGCCACCAACCAGCAGCCCAGGCTGCCCAGAGCCACATCCAGCCTGGCCTTGAATGCCTGCAGGGATGGGGCATCCACAGCCTCCTTGGGCAACCTGTTCCAGTGCCTCACCACCCTCTGGGTGAAAAACTTCCTCCTAATATCCAACCTAAACCTCCCCTGTCTCAGTTTAAAGCCATTCCACCTTATCCTATCACTGTCAGCCCATGTCAGCAGCCATTTTCCTTCCTGTTTATATGCTCCCTTTGAGTACTGGATGGCTGCAATGAGTTCTCCCCAGAGCCTTCTCCTCTCCAACCTGAATGAGCCCATCTCCCTCAGCCTTCCTTCCCAGGAGAGCTGCTCAGCCTGCTGCTCGCTTTGTGAACCCGTCCCAACAGCTCTGTGTCCTCCTTGTGCCAGGGGCATTGATCACAGCCCTCTGATCACAGCCCACTCAATCCATCAGACAGCCCATCCTTCCAGTGCACACCTCTGCAATTTAGAGGGGAGGATGTGGTGAGGGTCCATGTGAAGGCTTTGCAGAGCTCCAGGTAGATGCCATCCATCTGTCTGATGCCATCAGTCCATCACAGAAGGCTGCCAGGTGGGTCAGGCAAGGTCTGCTGCACGTCTCTCATCACCTCCTCATCTCGTGTGTGCCTCAACATGGCAACCAGGAGGAGCTGCTCCACAATCCTCCCTGCACACAGGTGAGGCTTACCAGCAGGTTAGGGCTGCAGGGATGGGGGAGCACACTGCTGGCTCATGGCTCCCTGCCCCCCACCAGCACCCCAGGGTGCTGCAGGCTTCAGTGGCTCATGCTGGGCACGGTGCTTCCTAAAGGAGAAGGCAGATGGTGACGGTGTGTGAGGAGTGAGCTTACTGCCTTCAGGCATGGGCTGAGTGCTGCCCTTTTGGTATGAAGAGCTCGTTGGACATCTCGTGTTGGATTGTTTTCGTGTTCCTCTGTGCTGGGTGTCACCCCGAGGTCCTCAGGAGCTGCAGTTGCAGAACTGAAGGCGTTGGGTGGCACATGAGTGGCCGTCCTCCGTTAGGAGCAGGAATTGGTGGAGGTGCAACCTTCCCCATCATAATGATTGTTAGAAATGATTCCTTCTTTAGCCACACAACACAACTGAGTGTGCACACATGTAGCGTGTTAATTAATTACTGAGTTTGGAAGTTGTTAGTGAGCCTGGGGGCCTTTGGGGTGGCGGGCACTGAGGAGCAGACAGACAGATGGGTGCAGCTCTAGCGAGGCAGCCGACCCAGAGCACGAACCTTCCCTTGGGTGCAGCTGTGCTCTGTTCTTCCTCCCAGAAGCTTTTTGAAGTAGATTGCACGAAGCAATGAGTGCAGTGCAATGGGAAGGCAGCAGGTGGGCTCAGGATTCCACACCTGGGGAAATACTTCAGCTGTGCTGAAAGTGCTGCATGTGCATCGCTTTGCAGAGCGGTGGTGGAGGCCGTGCATCGCCTGGATCTCATCCTTGGCAATAAAGCAGCGTACCAGGAGGTGTTCAAGCCCGAGAACATCAGCCTGAGGAACAAGTAGGTTGGGTAGGGAGCTTGGGGTGGTGTCTGTGTGGGGCTGCTGTGGCTGAAGGTTTTCCTTGCTGTCTGCCAGGCTGCGGGAGCTGTGCGTGAAGCTGATGTTCTTGCATCCCGTGGATTATGGCAGAAAAGCAGAAGAGCTGCTCTGGAGAAAGGTTTACTATGAAGTTATCCAACTCATCAAGACGAATAAGAAGGCAGGTACCACAGTGTGGGGTGGGCAGCCCGGCCAGGCTGTGGGTCAGGCTGAGTTAAGAGGTTCCTCTGCTTGGAGATGCGTCGTCTGAGCACCAAGCACTGCTGGGTGTGAATGGAGCTGACAGCTGAGTTTTCACAGAAGCACAGATGTCAGGGACTGGGAGGGACCTGGAAAGCTCACCCAGCCCAACCCGGGGCAGCAGCACCCAGACTGGGGCACGCAGAGCTCATCCAGGCGGGTTGGGAACGCCTCCAGAGGAGACCCCACCGCCTCTCTGGGCAGCTCGGTGCCGTCCCCCTCACCGTGAAGGGTGAGGAACTTCCCACGTCCCAGCAGGCACCACTGCCCCTGTGCTGCCTTGGGTGTCACTGAGAAGAGCCCGGCTCCTCCCGGCACTCAGCCTTCACAGACGGACCCCCATTCGTGAGGTCACCCCGCGGTCTCCTCCACCTGCAGACCCTCGGCTCCCTCAGCCTCTCCTCAGCACAGCGATGCTCCGCTCCCTTCCCCATCTCTGTGGCTCTGTGCTGGGCTCTCCAGCCATTCTTTGCTGCAGTTTTCTTCAGCTGAGGGCAGTAACTCCTCGCAATCACTGGGATGGTTTCATTACAGAGTGCATTCCACCATAATGTGCTTTCTGCCTTCCCAAATTCACAAGGCACGTTTCCTATGTAAAATGAGTGCGAGGATGTTCTGATATGGCTTTGCCAGCACGGGTTTCTTTTCCCCTGGCACTGGTGGCATGGAAATACCCCCTCTCCCCACTGCACTGTGTGAGGCAGCACGCTGTCCCACAGCGATCTGATGGTGGGGATGTCATTAAGGCTCCAATGAGACGCCTCTGCTGTTCATTTCCTACTTTGTCACTACACATCTCTTCTCCTTAGAAACACAGCAGATAAAGTACAGCCCAGCAGGGGAGGCACGCTGAGGGGTCACAGCAGAGCTGTCTGCTGTCTCACCTCCTCCTCGCCGTAACTCAGGTTCCCAGCTGCATTATCACCTCCACCCGATGACCCCTCCTGGCTTCTCTCTCCCACAGCACATCCACAGCCGCAGCGCCCTGGAGTGCGCCTACCGCACTCACCTGGTGGCCGGCATTGGGTTCTACCAGCACCTGCTGCTCTACATCCAGTCCCACTACCAGCTGGAGCTGCAGTGCTGCATCGACTGGACGCACGTGACGGACCCGCTGATGGGTGGGTGCTCGTGGGGAGCCTTGTGGGCAGTGGCTTTGTATGGCTGGGGGGTGGTTGGGGTGGGATGGGGGCTTTAAGACGGTCCAGTTCCAACCTCTGCTGCTGGCAGGGGCAGCTCTAGCTAGACCAGACTGCTCACAGCCCCGTTCCACCAACCTTAAACGCTTCCAAGGAGGGGGACAACCTGACCAATTATCTCCCCTCTCTCACAGTAAAGCATTTGTGCCTGATATCTACTCTAAATCTGCCCTCTTCTGGTTTAAAACCATTTCCCCCTGTCCTGTTGCTACATGCCCCTATCAAAAGTCCCTCCCCAGCTTTCCTGTCGCCCCCCCCCCAGGTCCTGGCAAAGCTGTAAGGTCCCCGCAGAGCTTTCCCTTACACAGCTCAGCCTGTTCCCATAGGGGTGGTGCTCCATCCTCATCTCCATGGTGCTCCTCTGGGCCCGCTCTGACAGCTTGGTGTCCTCCTGGTGTTGGGGCTCAGAGTTGGGCACAGTGCTGCCTGTGGGGGCTTGAGAGAGCAGAGCAGAGGGGCAGATCCCCCTCACCTGCTGGGCACGCTTCCCTGAATGCAGCCCGGGATCCTGTTGGCTTTCTGGGCTGGGAGCACACGCTGCTGGCTCACTCTGAGTCTTCCATCCACCAACACCTCCAAACCCTCAGGGCAGCTCTCTGCATCTGTGCCTGGGACTGCCCCGACCCCAGTGCAGAACCTTGTGCTCAGCCTTGCTGAGCTCCATGAGGTTGGCTTGTGCTCACCTCTGCAGCCTGCCCAGCTCCCTCTGCACGGCATCCCTTCCCTCTGGTGTGTGGCTGCACCGCTCTGCTTGGTGTCGCTGCAAACTGCTGAGGGTGCACCCAGTCCCTCTGTGTCACCTACAGAGGAGTTCAGTGACATCAGTGGCAGCTCTGACCGCAGCCACCCCTCGGGTCCTCCCCTGGGCTGGCCAGTCCAGTTCAGCATCCACGGGATGATCTTTTAATTCTGCATTTCTTCTCGCCAGCTCCTTAGAACAGACTGAGAGAACGCCTCCAGAAGGTCTGTAGGGAAGGGTTTGGTGGTGGCAGCTGTAGATGGGGGTCAGGAGGAACACCGGTGGCTGCACAGAAGATGGATAAATGAAGATGGGTGGGCGTGCTGCTGGGGGGTGGCTGCTCACCATCAGGCTGTACATCACAAGCGTATGGGGCTGCTCGTGCTGCTGGCAACCTCTGTGTCTTAGAAGTGAGGAGGTGAGGTTGGGTCTCAGAGATGAGGTTGGGGTGCTGGAAGTGAGGAGGAGTGGTTGGGTCTCGGAGTTGAGGAGGTGAGGGAGCTCCTGTAAGAGAGCAGGCTGTGTGTCTCAGCAGGGATCGTGCCCTCAGCAGTGGGATGTGTGGTGGCTGTTTCCAGCTCTGCACTTAGCGTGGCACGGAAGACAAATACGTAAGGCAATCATTAAGATGTGACATCGCGTATCCAGACAAGACGGGTGGGTTTCACTCCCACTCCTTTAACTGAAGCCAGGAGGAAGGAGCTCTGACTGTGGGCTGTTTGGGATGCCTCCCTCTGGGGTTCCTCTTGAGAGATTTCTGTCCTCCAGGAGCTGGGGCAGCAGGCAGCAGCAGGGCTGAGCCTCAGTGCTTCCTTGGTGCTGACCTGGCTGCTCTCCTTTCCCTGGAGGTGGCCGTTGTGCTGCTGTACCATCGAGACTTCTATTTTTTTTCTTCTCCCTTCTCTTCCTTCCTTGTTGCTTGCCCAATTCTAGATCCTGATTCCATCCTGGATACAAAGAATCCGCTTCCATTGTTGATGGTGGGGATGCCAGTTCTCCTCCAAATTCTCTTCTCCAAATTCCTTGTTAGCCATGCTAACGACGTCAGCCTCTCTCCAGGCATAATTAGCATGTGCTCAGCACTGTTAGCACTGCCACATGGCTTGTAGGCAGGAGCTGGCTCTTGTTCTCCCATCTCCGCGCAGGCAGCCGCCAGCAGCGCGATCTGAGCAGATCTTTGGTCACCCAGTGTCATGTTGGGTGTCCTGGGAGTTCTTTGGTCAGCCAGTGACGTGCTGGGTGTCTCAGGCAGCAGTGTGGGCCCCTCGTGTGCCATTCCAGCTGCCTTTCCCCGCTGCTGTGCATGACTTCATGTTTCTCCCACTTGTAGGCTGCAAGAAACCCGTGTCTGCGTCGGAGAAGGAGATGGAGTGGGCGCAGATGGCGTGCCACCGATGCCTGGTTTACCTCGGGGATCTGGGTAAGAGAGCATCTGGTGAGGGAACCCCTGGTGTGCACTAAGAATGGGCACTGTGCTGAGCTGCCCATGACTGCTGGGGACACACTGGGTTCTGCCAGACACGTTGGTTAGTGACAGAAAGGCACAGCTGAGCTGCAGATGGCAGAAGCGTTGGGTTTGCACTGCACACAGCTGTGGAACTGTGGGTGCTGAGGACTCCAAGCCTTTCCTTTCCTTTAGTGCTGTTTGTTTGGATGGTGTGTGGTGCAGCATGGCTGCAGAGGCAGAGATGTTTTGTACTGGGCCACCACAGAGCTGTGGGTTTTCTCCTCGTGTGGGGCTGCGTGTCACCCTTGTGATGGCTGCCGTCCCACCGCCTCCTGAGGTGTGTGAGTGTGTCAGGGTGTGGAGTCGGGGAGGAAATATCTGTCAGAGAAAACAATCAGCCCTTGGAAGCGTGTCATGGTGCGGAGCCTCCGAGCTCCTGGAAGCTGCTTGGCACTATGGTGTGTGGATCAGCCTGAGAACCTGCTGCAAATAAATGTTGTGTGGGGGTGGGAAGGGCGACGTACCCAGCTGGAGGGAGGGGAGTGTGCTCAGATTGTGGCTGCTGGCAGTGGGGCTCTGCAGGGTGCAGAGCAGTTTCCCATCCTGTCTGTGTCCCAAGGGTCAGTGTAAACCTGCTGGGTGTTGTGCTGCTGTCAGTCTGGAGAGAAACTGCTCTCTTCTCTGGAGGGGAAGGGAAGGGAGAGGAGGGGAAGGGAAGGCGCTGCGCTCCGCTCTGAGCCGTGTGCTCTCTTGCAGCACGCTACCAGAACGAGCTGGCAGGTGTGGACACGGAGCTGCTGGCCGAGCGCTTCTACTACCAGGCGCTGTCTGTCGCGCCGCAGATCGGTGAGTGAGTTTCCTCGCGTTCTGCCGTTCGCATCACACTGCTGGCATTCACCTCCCTCGTTGTGCCCCGCTCCCTGCCGCCCCTTCCCAAACCTCCTCCTGTCGGAGCGGTGAGGTGAGGCAGGAGGCGGGAGCCCGTCTGATCAGAAGGGGGATGCGGTTCCCAAAAGCCGTCTTCTCTGCGCCGCCTTGGCAGCATTCCTGCTGAGCACTTGGTTCAGGCTGATCCCGGTAACTGCCCAGCATTTGGCACAGTGAGCTGAGATGGAGCTGTCGAGTGCTGATAAGATGATGTCTGTGCCAAGAGAATGCAGCACGACGGAGCCGAGGCTGTGCCATTATGAATTAAGAGGAAGAGGAATTGTTTGTTCTGCTTTCTTAGGCAGGAATCACAGAATTGCCAGGGTTGGAAGGTGTGAAACACAACACATGGAAAAGGATTGAGCCATCCAGACCTTTGTACTGCAGCTTTAGGGCTTGAGGATTGCTGTTGCTGCTGGCTTCCCTCCTGTGTGGATGGAATCTGGAGGATTCTGGTTAATTTTGCCCTCTCTTTTGTGGCAGGCATGCCCTTCAATCAGCTGGGGACGCTGGCTGGGAGCAAATACTACAACGTGGAGGCCACGTACTGCTACTTACGCTGGTGAGTGTCTCTGAGGCCATAGGGCACAAATCTGGAAGGTGTGTAAAAGCTGGACGTGAAGCTGTGGTGCTGCCTGGGGTGGGGCTGGGAGACATCACAGAATCACAGAATGGCCAGGGTTGGAAGGGATCCCAAGGATGATGAATCTCCAACCCCTCTGTCACATGCAGGGCCACCAACCTTCCCACCTAATGCCAGCCCAGGCTGCCCAGGGCCCCATCCAACCTGGCCTTGAACACCTCCAGGGACGGGGCATCCACAGCCTCTCTGGGCAGCTGTTCCAGCACCTCACCACTCTCTGTAAAGAGCTTCCCTGTGACATCCAACCTAAATCTCCTCTCCCTCAACTTAAAACCATTTCCCCTCGTCCTGCAGTTATCAACCCTTTCAAAGAGTTGATTCCCCTCCTGTCTGTAGGCTCCCTTTAGGTACTGAAGGCTGCAATGAGGTCACCCCACAGCCTTCTTTTCTCCAGGCTGAACAAGCCCTGCTCCCTCAGCCTGTCTTCAGCCATCAGCAGGAACTGAGGACCCTGGCACGTTCAAATGGCAGCACCGCATGCCTGTCTTTGTGTTCAGCTGTGAAAACATGAGCATTTTTGTGGCAGAGTGACTCTCAATGCCCTCTGTTTCCCATCCCAGCATTCAGTCTGAAGTGTCCTTCGAAGGCGCCTCCGGGAACCTGAAGCGGCTGTACGACAAAGCGGCCAAAATGTACCAGCAGCTGAAGAAGTGTGAGAGCAGGAAGCTGTCCCCCAGCAGGAAGCGGTAGGAGGGCAGAGCAGAGCAGAGGGCTCTGGCTGTGGGCTGGGAAGTGCTCGGTCACCCAGCCCAGGCACTGAGCCTTCCCAAAACGTGGCTGTCCCCAGTTTCGATCCTCTGCTGTTGGGTGGTGGTTTGTAGGACAGTGGAGCTCCTTTGGTTTGAGGTTGAGGTGTTTCTTGCTGCCTCCTGAAGCTCTTGGCCCTCCAGGGGCGTTCCTGTGGCCAAAAAACAGAAGGGGGGGTGGTGTGTGTGTGTTTGTGTGTGTGTGTGGGAGAGAGAGTGTGTGTGTGTGTGTGTGTGTCAGGGCATATTTACCACTGGACACCACTCTGCCTGTTGGTTGAGCTGCTGGTCCTTTCAGTCTCTGTTACAGGTATCTGCATTACAGCATCTTCTTCTCCATCTCTTTTAGCTGCAAAGACATTAAGAGGCTGCTGGTGAGCTTCATGTACCTGCAGAGCCTTCTGCAGCCCAAGAGCAGGTGAGGTTCTGGCAAATCCCATCTTCTCTCTGTAATTCAGGGATGGAAGGGAGCGTTCCCTGCAGCAATGCAGCGTGCTGAGGTTTCTGCCCCTGTGTCCAAGCCCTGTTGAGCCCTCTAACCTTGCAGGGAAGGGGAAGGAGATTGCCCTCCAAAGGAGTTCTTCCCTTCTTAAGCCAGCAGATGCTTTTCTCCTGGCACGTGCTGGGTTTGGGCGGGCAGTGTGGCCCAGGGTTACACCGTCTGTACGCACACAGCGCCGCGTGTTGTGTTTGGAAACCTCTGACCAGATGGCAGCGAGCAGCAGGACCTGATTGTGTCAGAGCAAAGGGAAATTGTCCAGCGGTGATTTCAGTAAAACAGAAAGTGCTTTGGGGATCTGAGAGTTCCAGGAGCTGGAGAAATGCGAGGAGTGGATTTCCTGGGTTGGTTGGCCCTGAGATGTGCATGGGAGGACTGCGCTCCCGTGCCGGTGTGCAGCCAGGACAGTGGGCAGTGAGCCCTCAGCACCTCCACCCCCAGATCTCTTTGTGACCCCTATGTGTGTGTGAAGGTGCTCTGGTTATTGTTTCTCTTTAGCTGAGCAGCTCAGGAGAGGAGAAAATCACGGTTTATCCCACTCCCAGTACGCGCTGCTGCCCAGCGTGCGCTCCATCGCTCTGTGCTGTGCAGTGTGAAGGAGAGCCCACGTGTGGCTGCGGCCGCTCTGGGTGCTGCCAGGCAGGCATTGCTGGGAGTTTGGCTCTCAGACAGTAATGTTGGCTTCTTTTTTCTCCCTGTGAAGCTCTTTGGATTCTGAGCTGACGTCTCTGTGCCAGTCCGTGCTGGAGGATTTCAACCTGTGCTTGTTCTACCTGCCTTCCCCTCCCAACCTGAGCTCAGTGAGTGAGGATGAGGAGGAGTACGAGAGCGGCTACTCCTTCCTTCCCGACCTGCTCATCTTCCGCATGGTGATCATCTGCTTCATGAGCGTGCACAGCCTCAGGCGTGCAGGTGAGCGGTGCTTTGTTGGGACGCCCAAAAGCGGAGTGATGGCAGCGGGGCCGTGCAGCACTGCGGGGCGGGAGCTGCCTCAGCTGGGTGCTGGGTGAGCCGTCGGTGCCCTCAGCCTCACCGAGCTGTCCTTGCAGGCTCCAAGCAGTACAGTGCAGCCATTGCTTTCACGCTGGCCCTCTTCTCTCACCTCATCAACCACGTCAACATTCGCCTGCAGGCAGAGCTGGAGGAGGGGGAGAACCCGGTGCCGGCGTTCCGCAGCGATGGCACAGGTCGGTGTGGATGTGCTCTCCCCACATTTCTGCCCCTGGGGGGGTGCCTTCAGTTTCTGGCGAAGCTCATTAGGCACAGAACAAAACTATTGAAGCTTTCTCCCTCCAAAGAGTCAGTTTGTAACCCTTCACAAAACGCAAGGCTGGGCTTCTCTTGGCCAGCAGCAGAGCAATGGATTCCTCCCTGCGTGGCTGCTGGCACGGCGGCCGGCTGAATGCAGCTGACCAGCTTGTGCTCCTGCCCTGCAGGGTGGATGATTTGGCTCTCGGGAAAAGCAGGGGAGGAGGTGGGAGATCTTGGTGTGTTTTTGTCTGTGTTCAGCACTGATGCTGTCTGAAGACAGCAGTGCAGCCCAGGCTGCAGGAGCCCAATAGGAATCCGGGCTGCCTGAGATCTCTGAGCTCCTTAGAGGGCGCTTCCTTCCCAGGGCTCTGTGCTGAGGGACGCCGACAGGAGCGGCGGTGGAACCTGCTGCTCCGGAGTGGGAAGGAGCTCGTGTGGAACGGCTGCACTTTTCTGACCGTGGTTCTCACTTTCCACACCCGCAGATGAGCTGGAGCCGCGGGAGCCCCTCAGCTCCGTGGAGAAGGAAGGTGAGGCAGAGCTGCCCAATCACCACCCCAGAGACGAGGAACGGAAGCACGACTGCAAGAAAAGCAAGAAATACTCACGGCTTTCCTGCCTGCGCCGCCGCCGGCACCCGCAGAAGGCGGATGAGAGCGACCTGAGCGAGGGCTTCGACTCCGACTCCAGCCAGGGCTCCACGAAGGGCAGCGACGGCTCCGAGAGCGGCTCGGAGAAGAGCGACGAGGAAGCAGAGGCTGCTTTTGATGTGGAGACAGACTCTGACATGAACAGCCAGGAGTCGCGGTCCGACTTGGAGGACATGGAGGACGAGCCGGGCAAGGAGGGCAGCGAGCGGGGCCAGAGCGGGGCCAGGGAGGGCCTAAAAAACGGCGTGGATGGCAGCGGGTCGGGGGACTGCAAGAACACCAGCAGCTCTAAAATGGAGAGTGCGGATCCAGCCATCAATGGGCCCGTGTCCCTGAGTGCCAGCGACGCCAGCATCGCCAGCAACCTGCAGGCCATGTCCACACAGCTCTTCCAGACCAAGCGCTGCTTCCGCTTGGCCCCCACCTTCAGCAACATCCTCCTGAAGCCCAGCACCGAGCCGCCCGCCTTGAAGGGCAGCTTGGATGGCAAGCCCTGCATCAACGGCGATGTGGAGAAGCCCGGCTTGGCAGAGCAAGGTAAGGAGCCACACGTGCTGTGCCACTGTGCTGAGAGCTGTGTGCTGAGAGCAGTCTGCTCACTGAGAGCTGCTGCTTTCCATCATGAAAAGGTGCAGCATGAATCTCATGGGCGGAGCGATGGGGGAACGGATTTCAGGTGGAGGAGGGAAGGTTTGGCTGGGGTGCCAGGGGAAGCTCTTCAGAGAGGCTGTGGGTGCCCCGTCCGTCCCTGGAGGCGCTCAGGACCAGGTGGGATGGGGCCCTGGGCAAGCTGGGCTGGCAGCAGAGCTGCAGCTTGGTGGCCCTGCCTGGAGCGGGGGCTTGGAGCTCGGTGAGCCTTGGGGTCCCTTCCAACCAACCACCCTGTGATCCCATGAAAGCTCTCGGGTTTGGAGGTTGGTGCCCCTGCAGCGGGCCGGCCTTGGCCTGGGGGTTTCCTGGAGGAGCTTCCCTGCAGCCCGGTGCCCCAGGACACCTGGGCAGAGCAGAGCAGCCGGTGCTGTAATTCCAGCTGTGTGCTGAGTGCCTCTGATAGCTCCAAGGGGAGGCCCAAAGCTGCTGGAGGTATTCCTCCTCCCCACGCGCAGTCTCTGCCATCAGACACATAGAAGCAGTGCAGGTGCAGTCAGGGATGTCCTCCACCACCTCTGTGAGCGTGGAGTGAGGGCCGTGTGCTGTGTGTGCAGATCTGCAGTAGGTGGAGCTGTGAGTTCTGTCTCACCATGAGCTGCTGCTGCTAAGGAACGTGCTGGGGGGAGCCAGCTGCAAAGGAGAGCTGATGCACAGCCCTGTGTGCGTCTCACTGAACCTACACCACGTTTGTTGTTCCTCCCTGCAGTCAGGAAGCTCTGTGCACCCTGCGGCCAAACTGCAGCTCAGGGTTTGGAGATTTGGAGACTGTGCCCCATGGCTGCTTGGGTGGAATGGGGGGAAGGAAGGAAACTGGATGTGCTGTGTGCAGTGCTTTCCTTTATGCATTCGGTGGGATGTGCAGATGTTGCAGAGCTGGAAATGTTGATGGATGAAGAACTGACTGCAGAGAGTGGTGCTCAGTGGTTCCATGTGTGGATGGAGCTGGGTGCTGAGAGGTGTCCCCAGGGGTCGGTGCTGGGTGAAACTCTTCCATATCTCCACTGGTGACATTGGCAGCGGGGCTGAGTGCACCCTCAGCAGTTTGCAGGTGGTGCTGAGCTGTGGGGTGCAGTGACACAGCAGAGGGACCTGGGCTGTGGGCCCAGGGGAACCTGATGGGGTTCAGCAAATCAAGTGTGAGATCTGCACCGGAGTTGGGGCAGCTCCCATTCCCACTATGAGCTGCGGTGTCCCCATGCACTGCGGGGAATGGGGCCCTCAGAGGTCCCTTCCAACCCTAAGAGTTCTGTGATGGTTCCATGATGCTTCAAACCCAGCACTGCTCTCCTGCTGTGCAGCCTCGCTCCTCCAGAGGCTTAATGCTCTTCCCCTCCTTTCCCAGACAACGTGTCTGACTCCGAGGAGAGCGTGTTGAGCACCAAGTCGTGCAGGAACGAGCGGTCCCTGCAGGAGAAGCTGGAGATTGTGAGCAACGAGGGGCTGCTGCTCACCGTCAAGGTGTTCCTGGACTGGCTGAGGACGAACACGGACTTCATCATCATGTGTGCTCAGGTGGGGGAGGCTCTGGGCTTTGAGCCTCAGTAAATGTGGTGAAATTTGTGCTGTTTTGAGGCATTTTGGGGTCTGTGGGAGAGCCCGAGTGAGCTGGTTGTGGCATGCAGCTGTCTTCATGTTTTCTGTGGCCTTTTGTTCCTGCAGAGCTCCCAGAGCCTATGGAACAGGCTGTCCGTGCTCCTCAACCTGCTGCCTTCTGCTGCCGACCTGCAGGAGTCAGGTATGGAGAAGGGCAGCACAGCACAGTGCTCCTTTCTGCCCGCAGACCTTTGCTTACGAGCACAGCAGGGAGGGACCTCTTCCACATGTAACAGAATCACAGAATGGCCAGGGTTGGAAGGGACCTCAAAGATCATGAAGCTCCACCCCCCC